AACGGCTGGAAACCAGCCTGGAAATGGCCAAAACCCCTCTAATACCAGGCTGGTTGACCAGCTAAAACCAGCCAACCAATCTAGGCTGGTTTAAGCTGGACTTTTCAGCAGGGGTATGATGCCAAATTGGTCAACATCGCCCAACCCTAGTCGAAATCATTCTTGCTTTTGGTTCAAATATCATATGAGAAGCACTTCTTATTAAACAAACACTTGAGTTGGTGCCAGTAGTGTAGTGGTTAGTGTGTCTACACGTGGCACTCCGGTGTTCACGGTGACCCAAGTTTAATTCCCGCCTCAATATCCCATGCTAATCCTACCCATTCTTTGCTCCCCATGCTTTCCTGTCTATACTCTCTACTGTCCTATCAATAATTATAAAACATGCTTTATTTTCATAAATACTTATGTATAAATAAATGTTATTTTCTAACTTTTTTATGAACAGGATTTAATTATAGTTGCAGATCAATGATAACGCGAACGATAATAGCCTACTGTAATGTCTGTGATTATATATAAAAAAACGAAAAAGAAAACATTTAAAACACAGGTGAAGGTGTTGTACCCATTAAGCTCTGTCCCTTAAGCTATGGCAGATAAGAAATGCATACCTCTTGATTTAGTCAACCATGCGATCAGGACTTCTGCTTTTAGATTTTTTTCTAACAAAACCAAATAACCAAAGCCAATCTTAAAGAGTTTTAGAAGTAAAGGAACAATTTGTGGCAATAGCCAGGAAAACTGGACTTTACTTAGGCTGCTACTATTACAGTATATTCTGGTGATTGTACAGCACATGGGAATTTCTGATGTTGTTTACGGGCAAAGTAGAATTGGCTGTTCCTTCGAAATATAAAGACGAGTCTATTCATGATTTAAGTTGCAAAACAATAGAGCACAGGGTATTGCGGCAATCAACATTCTGTGATTTCAGACTGATACCAAAGCACCATTTCACCCATTGCAGCAACTAAAAGAACTGGCACTAACATTGCCTCTCAAACATCAGAGGATGATACTATCGCGACTTGACTTAAATTAATTTGTCAAACCCACAACTGAAATAGACAAAGTTAAATCTGCACTGGTCACATCTTTTTCCTTTTACCACATTCAACAGCATTTTTATTAGAAAGAATCCCAATTGAATACTGTTCTTGCTGCATTATCTGTGATGGTGGAGGTAATTAAATGCAGATATAGTGAGAACTCAAACAAATATGGTAGCACTCTTAGCGATTGCTTGATACAATTTGCAGACTTGGCATGCTGTTCCGGAAGAAAACCCGGGGATACTTGAGCCGAGGGCAGGGTGTTCAATATCAGGAAGGTCTCGAGGGATCCCCCAGTAAAGGAGGAAATGGTGGGATTCTTCAAAACAAAAATAAGTAAAGTAAGTGGGATGAATGGGTTTATTTATTTGGAGGCTAAAATTCATCTGATTAGTCTGGCAATAATATCTGAATCAACTAGTAATGATTATTGATGCGAGACCAGCTGAAACCAATCATATCACGTGCTCCTCTTAAAATTTGTTTATAAAACTTCATTTATAGCTCATAAAATACACTGCAGTTGTTTGTAAAAATTGTAAATAATCTGACAACTTGCTTAGCTCACATGGTACAGTATGCAGTGTACATAATTGAAAAGTTTATGCTGTGCATTGCTGTGCTTTTGCACACGTGTGATTAATTCACACAAGAAATGTCACATTTTTATTTTTTTTTTTAAATGTGTACTAAACCTTGCAGTGTGAACAAAGCACTAGTGGCAACAGCAAAAATAAAAGGATTGTTTTGGGGCCTCATGCTGGTTGCATCTGGTCTAAAAAGCTGCACCAAAACACACCAAACAGACACCAACTGACTGTAATGAGCATGTGCGTTCTGCACCTGCTTGACAGTATTTGTCTTTCCATACCCACAGGAGGCAGTAGTTTGTACTGTCATTCTACAGGGAAAAACCAGGAGTCTGAATACTCCATTAGCTACATTTGGTAATTGACGATTTGACACGATCCAGGATCGTTCTTCAAAACTCCTCCAAGAGTTGTTGTCATAGCAACAGTTCTGGTAGCTCAAACCTGCTCTAGAGCAGGCTTTATTCATAAAACCAGGATTAGATTGGGTCATTTTAAGAAAAGATAATACTGAAAGTATGCACCGAATTCTGATAATTTCTTGCAGTTGTAGTTATATATGCTTGGGAAAATAGTTAAAAAATACATGTAATAATAAAATGCAATTTGCACTCTGAAATAAAAGTACAAAGACTGTCACAGGGTGGTTCTCACCAATGGGTTCAAAAAGAAAATATATTAATTTTAATATGGACTTTGGACTTTTAGAAGCAAACGCATACATTGTAATGGTACAGCTTTAATCGAGATAAACGATTATTCCATCATATACCGCCCCCTTTTCAGTTTTTTTTTTACATTTGTTGCTCTGCAAAGGTCAGTTCCACGTGAAAATGACTAAAAGCATGTGCTGTAATGCAACGTTTGCAGCACAGGTGCATAATTAATATTTTTAAAAGTGAAAAAGAGCACATGCTCTTGGGTGTCCAAACAGGATCGGAGATGAGCAGAGCACACACATCTAACGCCTTCTTAATGTGAGCGCTTTAATGGTCAAATACATGCATATTTATGTCAGAGCCTGGTGTTGAAAATCAAAGACATGTGAAAGAGAAACCATTTATCAGTGCTGCACTATTCTGAAAGTGACAGCTCGCAATATTCCTGCTGCCGCCTGTTTTTATTATTAATCAAACAACAAATGGAGAAAATCCCTCACTGCTCTTGACTGAAGGACTTTTGTAGCTAAAGATTTTTTCTTACAGTGAAGATGCAGTTTAAACATAACAGATTTATTAACTAATTTCTAATAACTGAATTCTTTTATCTTTGCTATGATGACAGAACATTATATTTTATTAGATATTTTTCAAGATACTAGTATTCAGCTTAAAGTGACATTAAAGGCTTAATTACTTATTTACTTAATTACTTAATTACTAGTGTAATTATGCAAGTCATTGTATAACAGTAGTTTTTTTCTGCAGACAATCAAAAATATATATTGCTTAAGGGGGCTAATAATATTGAGCTATTAAAATAGGTTTTTAAAAAACCTTTTAAACCTGCTTTTATTTAAAAAAACATTATAGGAAATACTGTAAAAAATTCCTCTGTTAAACATCATTTGGGAAATATTTATATATTAAAAAAATTCACAAAAGGGATAATCATTTGAACAATCGTTATTACAATTATGACAAAAATAATCGTGGTTATGATTTTTCCCATCATCGAGCAGCCCTATACAAGCGTCCACCAGTTTATGTAGTGGAAACACTTAATGACTCCACAAGCACAGCTGACACAGAAATTCTTTCTACCTTACCTCAGACACAGAAGCACAGGGCATTTTAAAGTTTTGTCTGTGGCGGGGCAACATGAAATATCTCCACGATGGCACTTTACTTAAACTCATTAAGGACCTCAAGCACGAAATCCTTAAAAAACTTGTAGAAATTTGCATTTAAATCCTTTCCAGGTGATACAGATTATGAACAAACAACATGTGCCCTAATAAAAAAACATTCATGTATGATAGAAAGTGGTTTATGTTCAAGCTAGTAGACTGGAAAAAACTGGCTGTTTCTCAGTATGCGTTCATTAGCGATCTTGCATCCTTGAGTTCTCATGTAATGTCATCATCAACTGCAGTTCCAAAACTCAAGACCACAAGAACGGAGGATGCATGAAAGTTCCTTGAAAGTTCCTTAGTTTTCTTGATATCAAAGAGGCAAACTTGAGCGCAAAACTCGCTCAAGATGTCCATAAGTCATTGCGGCCAAATATAGGAAGTGAAAAGTGCAGCAATTTTTACAGATACAAGATCAGAAATATAACTTATTCATCTCTAGTTTCCCTAAATGAGACAGTGAAAGTAAACATTAACATAAAATCTTAGTAAACACATTAACGATGTTTATTTGCTGAAATTCGTATTAAAGTCTGTTTTATTCGTAATGTGCAAAGTATATTTGTATGGTTTTAGTGCATTAGGAAAAAACAGTAAATTGTTGTATGAATGCTGTTATGTTTACATAATTTTCTGTTATAAATATTTTAAGGTTATGTGACCATCAGGAAGAACGCAGCATCTTATTTCTCAGAGGACGAGTTCTGTTCTCGTAGTCTCTTAAGTTCGCTCTTCTGAGCTAACCTGGCAAGACCGGTCTCTACAAAAACGCAAGGCCGTTCTATGCATTCTTGGAATTGAGAAACAGCCACTGTTTGAAATTTAAAATGGGGATTTTAATAATAATGATGGGGGGTGGGTGTTGAGTGTCCTGATGCACCATTAAATGCTAGAAAGCATGGAGCTAACAACCCAAAACAATAGTCACCATTGAAAAAAAACAAAAGAAACCCAGCAATGCAGCATGTTCTCCCTGCATTTGCGTGGGTTTACTCCGGGTGCTCTGGTTTCCCCCACAGTCCAAAGACATGTGGTTCAGGCGAATTGGGTAGGCTAAATTGTCAGTAGTGTATCTGTGTGAATGAGTGTGTGTGGATGTTTCCAAGAGATGGGTTGCGGATAAAATGGCATCCGCTGCATAATAACGTGCTGAATAAGTTGGCGGTTCATTCCGCTGTGGCGACCCTGGATTAATAAAGGGACTAAGCCGAAAAGAAAATGAATGAATAAATGAATGGATGGATATATATAGCTTTCAATTTCGACATTGTTCAATTAAATTGAGAGAATCTAATTCCTAAAATCATTTAGGCAGTCTCACTTTATTACATTTACATTCGTATTACATTCTTAGTACATTCTTTAGTACATGCTCTCCAGATGCATGAGAGGACACCAACATATCTCTGCTCACTCTTATAAGAGAGTGTGGCAAAATGGAGGCAAGAGGATGTTTCACAAAGGAGCTCTTTGAAACCAATGAAAGCAATAAAAGAGACTTACCCTGTGGCTTCTGGGTTTCTTCTGCTTCCAATGGACTGTGTGAGAAAGAAAAATCAAATAATGAGCTCATGAATTGACATGTGAAAAGCAAATAAAAAAGAAAAACATGGCACAGCTTCATCTGATGCTCTTATGCCCACTTTGCTGCCCCTCACAGCACTTTTTTTTGTCCTGCTCAATTCAGATAAAGATGGGTACTTAATAGAAGATAAACATCTGAGAAAGCACACACTGTACATAAAAAAATGCTACCCTTTTGTCCAGCATTTTTCAAGTAAAGCAAGGGCTAAGAGCATGAAAGTGCACGTTTTTAAAATGCTGGAAGTGTAGCTAGTCATTGAACGTGAATTTAAGCACTTGCTATTTTTAAAAAGCTCTGACAGTTGGAGAAGCGTCCCCTAAGTGTTTTTAAAACAACAATAGTGTTTCTGTAGTGCAAAAAAATGCTTCTGTGGAATTGCTCACTAACAACAGACCAGTCTAAAACCCGTAAAGTGATTCTACATTTTTTAGAGTCATGCAGGATGGGTCATGCATTTATTGGGTTGATTTGAAATAAAAATATTAAAATATTGTTTGTAAAATTTTACATAATTTACAGTGACAGAGATTTAATTTGAAAATAAATATGTACAAGGCAACGTTTAAACTTATAACAACATTTAAATAAATCTGCTATGCTGCAGCTGCTTTGTTTTTGTTTTTTTTTGGCAGAACTGAGACTTACTACTGCCAGTTTATTCACAGATATGAAGTCTGAGAATTTAACACACTGCTGCAAAAATAATAAGCATGTAACACCCTAAACAAGGCAGCGAAACATGAAGACAAAACAAAACTTTAAAGCTTCATTTATCTACACGAGTTGACTGAAATAGACAAATGAAACAAACACGGCCCATAACAAGCAAACCCATTAACAATATTTTTTTTTTACTATCATGGGCAATAATATTGCATGCTTTCTATGTTCATCTATGGAGACCTGGACCTTGCCTATATAAATGCCTGGGCTATCTTGCCGAATGGCTTAAAACTAGTGAACTAGACTATGTGTGAGCCTTCGTCACTTTGCCAACTTAGGATTAAATTAGTACACTATTTGTCTTTGTTACTAAATATCACGTAGCAGGCTGATAGAAAAATATAAGCTCAGCTAGGGCTGGGTGATTTGGCCTAAAATCAAAATCTCAATTAATTGCACATTTTAACTTGATTAAAATTAATGAACGATTATTGTTTATTTTATTTTTATTTTTTGCCCTCATACACTGACAAGTTGTACAGTAAATATGCTCACATATTACAAGTTAGAGAGTTCTGAATGTAGAGTGCATTACTTGATTTTAAAATAATTGAAGGAGACACACACATCTACTACCTAGGCTTATTTTTTGAACATCAAAATTGAAAAACTTAAATTAAATTGCACCGCCCACTCTCGTAACCGCTATCAAACCGGCCAATCACTAAGCCTGTGCTATGCGTCACCATGGCGTGTAGTTAAATTTTTTTAAGAGGTGCGCAGCTCATTTACAGAGCTGGGTCCCGTGACTCCACACGCGGTAGGGAAAATAATCGAAAAAATAGATAAATAAATAAATAAATAAATTTAAAAATAAAACTTGCTCTGGAAAAATGTGATTGATTATAATTGTCCATTTTGATTACTTTTTGAATAATCACCCAGCTCTAAACTCAGAAACCAAATTTGAACACGGCAACATTCTGTGCAAGATAAATAAAGGAAGTATAAACATTAGGGCTGCACGATTAATTGAATAAAGATCACAATTTCGATTCGACCCTTCACACGATCAGCTTTTCTACTATTCAGCCAATTATATTTTCAAGGTGAAAAGCAAGGCAGTTGCACAAGTCTTCACATTGACACCTTCAAATGGTGTTAAAAGTGTCACATACTGTATTTACAAGGTATAATTCACCCAAAAATGTAATTTCTGTCTTCATGCAATGATGTATTCGCGGCCACAAAATCACTGACTGTTTGAATACTACCATAATGCGCACATGCATACCCAATGATGCCTACTTTAGCAGAACCTGCATAGGCTGTGAATAACAGGTAATGAAGTTGTAAGTAGCGTTCAGTTTGTTGCACAGAGCGATCGTTGGAGGGCCGGGCCGTGCACGAGGTTTGATTTGCATGTATGTGTTTTTTCTCACAGTGACAGCAGCCATGAGCCGCACTCGGAAGTGAAAGTGAAACCTGTGCGCACATCAATGATCATATCGCATTTTACAGTTATGATTATGACAAGCATTTGATATGTTTTTCTTTCATAGCAAACATATAGTGTTGTGCATGAAAATAAATGCTTACTGTGTCAGTATAACAACCTGCCTATAATGTTGAAAATAATGCAAGAAGGAATCTGATAATGACAAAATTATAATTTTACCAGTGAAAGCAAATGGTCTAATAAATGTTGTCAATGACAAATGACAAGCATGTCTTAAAAATAATAAATCAACTTTAAAATTATGAATAGTTATTTTCTGATGTCATAATTTTACTGTGAATTAACATTAGGACATACTGTATTGTAAGTCTGTTCAAGTCCACCATAATAACTATACAAAATTTTGCATTTTAAGCAATCTTACCTCACTGACAGATCATTCAGGGTGTCTTGGAGGGGTGAGGTGTCCAACCTACAGCATCTAAACACTGGGGTACCTCAAGGCTCTGTTCTTGGGCCACTTCTCTTCTCCATCTACACATCATCTCTAGGACCAGTCATCCAGAGACATGGATTCTCCTACCACTGCTATGCTGATGATACCCAGCTATACCTCTCTTTTCATCCTGATGATCCCTCGGTTCCAGCTCGCATTTCAGCCTGCCTGTTGGATATTTCACACTGGATGAAAGATCATCATCTTCAGCTGAACCTCGCAAAAACGGAAATGCTTATAGTTTCTGCCAACTCGACTCTACACCATAACTTTTCAATCCAGATGGACGGGGCAACCATTACTGCATCCAAAATGGTGAAAAGCCTTGGAGTAACGATTGATGACCAACTAAACTTCTCTGACCACATCTCTAGAACTGCTCGATCGTGCAGATTCACACTCTATAACATCAGAAAGATCCGACCCTTCTTATCTGAACATGCAGCTCAACTCCTTGTTCAAGCTCTTGTTCTCTCCAAACTGGATTACTGTAACTCTCTACTAGCTGGGCCTCCAGCTAACTCTATCAAGCCTCTTCAACTGCTCCAGAATGCAGCAGCACGAGTGGTCTTCAATGAACCTAAACGAGCACATGTCACTCCGCTGCTACTCCGTTTGCACTGGCTGCCAGTTGCTGCTCGCATCAAATTCAAAGCTCTGATGTTTGCCTACAAAGTGACTTCTGGCCTTGCTCCTCCTTATCTGCTCTCGCTTCTGCAGATCTATGTGCCCTCCAGAAACTTGCGTTCTGTGAATGAACGTCGCCTCGTGGTTCCATCCCAAAGGGGGAAGAAATCACTTTTGCGAACGCTCACGCTCAATCTGCCCAGTTGGTGGAATGAACTCCCTAACTGCATCAGAACAGCAGAGTCACTCGCTACTTTCAAGAAACGACTAAAAACTCAACTATTTAGTCTCCACTACACTTCCTAATCTGCAATTGCCTCTCTGAATATCACACTAACTGTACAAAAAAAAAAAATACTAATACTACTAATACTTCCCTTCTTAGACTTTACAGACCTGAAACTTGCTTATAGCACTTATTCATTGTTGCTCTTGGTTGTGTAAATTGCTTCCTTGTCCTCATTTGTAAGTCGCTTTGGATAAAAGCGTCTGCTAAATGACTAAATGTAAATGTAAACAGTAGACCCACACATAAATAAAATAAATAACCTTTATTTTACACTGATCAGCAAAAAAAAAAATGTGATTCACATTTTTGCCAGAATTGTGCAGCCCTAATAAACATACCATATTTATTTACTGTAATAGCTCATCTAGTACCAGTACCAGTGCCTGGAGGATTCTTATAATTAAATGTATAAAATATAGCCCGCTATAAACTGATTAATTGCTCAATGGCCCATTGGCCTCAGGGCCAGCATGAGATTTGCTTGGGACAGCAGACATGATTGTCAGTGGCTCCATTGAGCCAGTGCTTGCTTGTTGTCACTAAAGTTTATAATATGCCCATGACCGTTTATTAGTTTGATCTTATAATCAAAAAGCAGCATGACAGACAAAAATAAAGAGTTAAAAAAGCTAGTAAAAGAAATTAGATGAAAACATAGCGAGAACAAGAATGAGAAGATGATCCCACATGTGGGCTGTCATTATTCAGAAAGCTTGTTTCGCACATAACTGATACGGTCCAGGTGTGCATATCTATATTCTTTGTTTGTTGTCCTCTCGCAAAAGCAGTTTACCATTCCTGGAAGTGTAACAGGTGTGCAAGGTTCTCTTATGTAACGTCCTGCTTCTATCAAGAGCTTGATATAAAAGCCTACATTTTCTATGACACAAAAAGGCTGCATATTCTCAAATAAAGAAATAAATATGTATACATAACTGGGTTTAGTCTACACTGTATATTTTTATCATTCATAAATTTTAAATATCCTGTTTTTAAATTTTGAACAAAAAAATTACGATTTGTTCAAGAATTGCACATGCCTAAGAAACTATTAAATAATAAATTTGTAAATATACAATATGTATGAAATGTGGTGTCATTAATATGAACGTTTGAAGCATTACATTTCTTTAACAAAACAAAATGTTTATGTTTGACACACACTAAAGAACTTCGTTTCTAGTGTCCACATGTATAAGTATTTTAGGTAGTATTAAGTCAAGTAATTAAATTACACATCCTTAGGAATGTCCCGAGCCAAATTCAAACATTTGTACTGGGGCCATTCAGCTCTATCAGCTAAAGAATGCTGATGAGAGCTGATGCAGATTGAGCTGATAGAACACAAAGGTGCAGTTTGAGGAATGCACATTTTATGACAAGAATGAGAGTGTAAACTGGGGTCACCAAACTTGTTCC